CTTGAGGTGGAATCTGCTTCTGGTGAAGATGCTGTGAGGACTATAGAAGTGATAATAAAGGACTCAGAATATTACATAAACTTAGTTGATAAAGCAGTGGCAGGGTTTGAGAGGACTGGCTCCTAATTTTGCAAGAAGGTCCACCGTGGGCAAAATGCTATCAAACAGCACTGCACGCTACAGAGAAATCATTTGTGAAAGAAGGAGTCAGTTGATGCGGCAAACTTCATTGTTGTCTTACTCTAAGAAACTGCCCCAGCTGCGCCAGCCTTCAGCAACCACCGCATTCATCAGCCAGCAGCCCTCAACACTGAGGCAAGACCCTCCACCAGCAAAAAAGATTACAACTTATTGAAGGTTCAGAGTGATAGTTACTGGTTTTTGACACTAGTTTTTTAAATTAAGGTGTGTACATTGTTTTTCTAGACGTAACACTATTGCACACTTAAGAGACTATAGTATATTATAAACATACCTTCTAGATACACCGGGAAATCAAAATATTTGCGTGACTCACTTTATGGCAATAATACCTGCATTGCGTTGATCTGGAACCAAACCCGCAGTATCTCCACTATACGTCTGTACTAGATTCTGAGCTGGGGCCTCTTCCTGCTCAGTGACCACAGCCATCCATGTGGCTTCAGCTCTCATCAGTGCAGGATACATGGCAGTGCCAATTTCATGCCTATAGATGCACAATCTTTCTGAACCTTCAAACCTGTATTTTAAATGCTTGTAGACATAACCCATAGATACTCTGTAGATTTTGAATTTTAACATCTTCCAGGCAAAACTTATATTCTTGTCAGCACCCCACTGAGATGATCAGTCTAGAAATTTGGAGTCATCTTTTGTTCTGTCGTATCATCCTTAATCACAGACTAATTCCTATTGGCTTCTCTGTATTCAGTGTCCTGAGATCCAGATAAAAATAAATAATAAATAGTTTCTGTCCTCAGGGAGCTCCTAACTGGACTTATGGCAGTGGGACCTTTGAAGTTATTTCACAGAGTCCTGGAATTAATATTCTCATGTATGTCTTTGCAACCAGTGGAAATTTAAAATATTTTTTTTAGCCTGGAAAAATTTTAATAGTAGAAAGCGTATCTCATAGCAACATCCTATGTGATGTCAGTCTTTGCCTGAAAATGTTGTGCATATTGTAATGAAGCCAAACTCCTTAGCATGGGGCTTAAAGCTCCTCACAATCTGGCCTAGCTTCTCTCATTTTCATCTTCAGTCACCTCTTTAGTCCCCACAGCTAATTCTGAAAGACACCACATAATTTGACTTCTTCATGCCCTTGCTTATATTGTTCCCATTGCCTGAAATATCTCTTTCTTTACAGCAAACCCCTGCTCATCCTCAGGGCCCTGGTGAAGTCACCTTTTCTCTTTCCCTCTTCTCCAGTTTCTTACTCTCCCCACTACCTGAAGGAATTTCTCCCTCCTTTTCTATTTCTATTATGTACAACCTTGTTATTATAATTAACACATTATATTTTAGGTGTTTGTTTACCTATCCTTTTCTCCTACTAGACAGTGAAGTATTTGTTGAATAACAAATCAACATCATATAACAATCATGTAAACAATCAAAATGCAGAGAAATTATTTGTCTCTTCTGTTTTGAACTGTTTTCAGGCCACCTCTCCTCAGAATCTTTTTACTTGCACAGCTGGAAGTAGTTTCTTCCACTGCTGAGCTCTGTTGCGTCATCTCTTTCCCTCTGATGCCTTTGCATCTTTTTGGCATTTTACCTCTTTCTGCCCAGTTACTTTGATTAATGTCTAATATCACCTTAAAAACTTTAGGTGATATGTGTCTCATTTATCTTTGTAACTCTTGAAAAAGCTGAGCCCAGTACAGAGCAGAGAGTGGCTCATTAATAAATTTGTAAATGAATGTCATTGTTTTAAGGGAGGAGGAAGACTACATATATGACTTAAAAAAATTCTTTAATGCAAAGATACTTATTCTTAGCATTCTTCCATGTTTAAGACTTGTTTGTGTGTGTTTTTAGTGTTAAAAATAATTATTATTCTTTGGGTCATTAAAATATATACTAGTAACATCCTTCTCAAATTCTGGAAGTAAACATTATATTAGCTCTGGAGGCACTAAAAAAATTAAACCCTTTCTTGGTCATATAGCTGTGAGTTATTTTTCAGGACTTTGAATTCTAGTAACTTCAAGGAATCTTAATAATTCATCTGATTCCATGATTTTCAAGCATTTTTCTTAAATCAGTGGAACTCTTTCTTGATAAAAGCATATGTGAATGCCTCCAAAAAAGAGAAAAGATAAAAATGAAATTGGCTTTGTTGAATGGGTGCTTCCTTGGACTGTATTTCCCTGCTCTCTGTCTGAGATGACCTCCAGGGCTCTGTGGAGTGTGTTTGCAAACCATTCATCTACTCTAATAAAGAATTTAATTCTATTTACAAGCTACTATGTTTTTTTGAATTCAGTTTACTATTGATTGTAAAACATGTGGTGACAACAGAGATGTTAGACTGGCAGAAAATGATTATAATATACATAAAACCGCAACTGAACATATGAAAAAAAAAATAATGTGTCATGTTAACCTTGGCAGGATTGACTCTCCAGTTTTTCTGCTCACTCTTAGTTTGCTAGCTCATTGAGTGTAGTGTAGTGGTAAGAGTTTGGAATGTAGGACTACGTTGCCTGGGCATGGACTTGGACGGGTTAGGTAACTTCTCTGTGCCTCATCTTTCTGTTTTAACAACAAGAGCTTGCTTATTTTGTTTTTCATTGGCTGGTCTCTAAAAGTCTTTAGATGGTATTTTCTAGGAAGAATCCATTCTCTCTCTCTCTCTCTCTCTTTTTTTTTTTTTTTACTATAATGCTTATGTTGTTTGAGCTCATTTCTCTTCCTCAAAAGGGATATTTGCTATATTTAGTAATTTACAAAGTGAGTCTTCCCTCATTTTAGATTGGTTGTACTGTTTCAGCCTCTCAACAGGAGTGCTGTTGGCACATTGTTTGGACAGTTCTTCATTATGTGGGACGTATTTATAAGACCCTTGCCCCTCTCCGGCTAAATACCTGT